CCCCAAAACCCCAAAACCCCAAAACCCCAAAACCCCACAGATTATAATGATATAGAAATATTTTTAAATGGAAGCAAGATCAGATTTGGGCTGAACCTTCGATACTAAAGATACTTCAGGTATAGTAACTTCCAGCATACTCAGGGAGACTCCTGCCCAAGTTTTAGTATCTCTTCATGGCTTTATTGCCACTATAAGGATGTTTTAGATATCTAGCCTAACAAAGATCGTTTTAACCTCAGGTTTAGACCCAGACTCAAAGAATAAGTCCAAAATGGAACGAATCCTAAGGTAAGTATACAACAATCTGAATGAATTCTCTTTGTGCTTACTCTCCGAACAATACAGTAAAGCCAGAGAGGCTAAGAAATTAGCTTTCTCTCAGCAGGATTTACCAATTCTTCTGAGCATCCTTCAGTTCGTATCTTCCCAGTTTCCATGACTTTAAAACATAGGGTATCTTTGGGTTTTCTGGTCCATTCCTGGGTCCAAGGAAGTAAAGTTTCTTCCCTAAACTAGCTGAATCTAACCTTTTTAAGAGAGAAAAGTATTCAGCAGCAATGCCAACAAATTGACCACAAAATTTGCACTTCCCTTTTTCAGAATATTCGAGGGGAGAGAACATGGAAAGAATTTAATGGAAAAATTATCTTGCAATGTTGAAAGCTTCGGTAATTCGCAACGGTGTCATCCCTTAGAGACAGAAAGCTCTTAGAACAGTGCTCTAACTTTAGACTGCCTTGGGTCACGTCCATTGTCATTAGATTTGCCTATCAAAGTAGGAGAAGAGTTAATAAATTTCTAAACAAGTCTATTACTAATAAAACCCAATTGCTGCAGATTCATGAAGAGAGAAGAGCATTCCCTCATTATCTAAACCAGCTTAGCAAGGCAAGCTCAACAATAGGTGGAAAACTAAGGATTTTTGAATTTAGAAGGTAAGGTTCCTTGGAAATATTCTAGAATGAACCTTAAGCAACTGAAGAGGATATTCAGTGGTAAGAGTAGAAACCTAATCAATATTATAGCAAATAGGAATAAATCCAGCTTGTGGATTATGAAGTCAACATTTTGCCTCCCACCACAGCCTGATTTTTCAAAGTGATTCTCTGGGACATCACTCGAATCACTAGTTTTTGCAGGATCATCAATTCATAAACGCAAATGTAACCCAAAAAACCTTCATAATTTGGATACTCTGTTCTTTGGACTAGCTACATCTCCAGATCTCAAGAACAGTCTCCAGAATATAAAGGTAGCCGAGAAATGGTACTTCAATCGTCACTGTGAAGTGGATATCAGTCAATATGGTTTTCTTTCCTAACCAATTGTGGCCAAATAATGTTCTAGACTCAGCCACGAGTAATCCTAATTGTCTCCTAATTTAATGGACTTATAACGTAAAAATCAGGCAGAATCATAGCTTATGTTCAACAGAGGCCTTTTTCCTGATGCCTTCCTCCGTTCTCCTCCTTATTTAACATAGTTTATCCCCACATTAGCCACTAGGTTTTGCCAGTGACCCAGACTGAGCTTTGGGACTGAAGATTGTTTACAATAAGTCCAAGAAGTTTGTAGTAGAAACTCTTAGGCTCCATTATTAAATTTTACAGCTTTGAACAATATTGTTTTAGAGTTTCAATAGATAAGATCTGTTTCGGGGTTTTGGGGTTTTGGGGTTTTGGGG